CGTGACGTCTTTAATCGGGCGTGGACAATCCGTGGCTTTGTTCTGGGGGAACACCTTGCTTAAAAAAAACAAAAATTTAAACTGTCCCTTTCGTATGTGACCGAAATGACGCTCTCGGCTTCCTTCACACGCGGTATCTGTCAAACAGCCTATCGCTAATTGGATACGATCTAAGAAAGGAATTTCTTAGACTTGTCGGCGTTTCTCTGAACGCAACAAAATATTTCATTCTCCTCCGGCCGATAATAAAAATCTGTATTATCTCAAAAAAAAAAAAAAAAAAAAAAAAAAAGCATTTTCTAATCATCATCTTGTGTGGCTGTATTTTCAATTCTGGTATTGTCTGGGTTCTCGTATTAATGGATTGTCTGTATATCCTTAGATAAGCTTCCCACCTGTTACCTATCATATTTTTTTCCATTGTCTCTAAACTTTATTTCTTCAACCAAATTGATAACAAACTTCCATCCTCCGCGGACACGGAAGTAGGTCAGGTGCTTGACCTGATATTTTTGACATCTGATATGTGTCAGTCGAGCGTGTGTGTTTTCGCTTACGACCTGGTTTCGTATTATTTATTTTTCTCCTTTCTTTTCTCTTCCTCTTCTTTTCTTTCTTTCTCCCAGATCGCCTGAACGCAATTAAAGAATTATTCTCAACCCCGAAATATTTTTCAGCTCTAAATAATTATCAAATGGTTAACAAACCGAAAAAACAAATCATATATTTATGAATATCTCTTTTCAGTTTTCTAATTATGCATGGTGCCACACAGTGAAGTAATTCTACTGTTTCGTGAATACATTTTTTAATATACATTTTTAAAGAGAAAACATTCCTTTGATCCAGATACCACAAAATAAGTACTTATTGAATCATTTTTCTTCACTGTCCATTTGTGACTTCCCACTGTACCCAGACGAACAGTAACACTCACTTTGCCAATGAATGAAGTACATCTTTTAGGCTCATGTAAATAAATTCACTTGGTTCACAGGTTTTAGGTAAATGCATCATTCTGAAAATGATCCTCTGAAGGTATTTTATCCTTTATTCATTAACCCAATTAATGCATATGTAATAAGTTTGCTTTTCTTCCATTTGCAATATTTGTTTTTTTTATGGAGACTGGTGCGAGTTTATTGTTTTTTCGACATTGTTGTTGGTGTCATTTTATAAAGAAAATATATGTAAAATATTTTAGTGAGTTATGTTGTGGGTATGCATCCCACATTATTTTAAGAGACTTTTAATTTTCTCCCTCAATAATACTTTAGTAGGCACATGACTAACTACAATGACTTTTGTTATGATCAATCTTCTGGTTAGTACTATCTTTTCAACAATCTTTAAAACAAAAACATGCCCATATTCTTTTTCGGCAAATATTTTTCATCAAAAATATTTTTTGTGTGGGTTTAACCCTGTTTTCGAGTTTATCTACCGTAATATTTGGCTGAACTGCAATGTCATGACATTTAAATATTTTTGACCATAAGAAAGTTTTATGTCTTTTCTTGTCTTTAGTAATATTTTACCCAGAGTCATCTTAATAACCATTACAACAGTAATATAATAACCGAAAAAAGGCAAATCTTGGCACTTAATCAGATTTTCGCCTGGAAGATCCTCTAAAAAGTCTTAAATCAAGAAAAATACCTGAAAACATGTCCATAGGATTAATATCTTGAAAATAAATTGTAGCCACTCTATTCTAAAAATGACTCTGAAAAACTTGTTCGTACCTCCAACTTTTAATTAAAGACTTAAGTTTACTTTTTTTCGAAGCAAAATTTATGCAAGTTTCAGCGTTCATTTTTTTTGCTGTAAATCGAAATTAAGAAGAAGTGGATTATTAATGGTCAGAAAATAATGCAAGATTTATTGTAGAAAATACGCTATTATAAGTACAATGAAAATGTCATAGCTAATTATTTTACTTAAGAAATACATTCAAAATGTTTAGGTTAAAGTTGTCAATTTAACAACATATCAACATTTGTTGAGTTATTTAATGTCGTATATAAATGCTATAGGAGAAAACTCACTGAATTAATTGATAGATATGCATGGGTAGGGATTGCATTATACTTGAATTAAAAAGGTAGACATCGATCCGCTTTGAGCTAGAGTCAAAAAAAAAAAGAGTGATATAGACTTGACTTGCACTCCATCAAAACGTTAGACATAATGTAGTTTTCAGAAAAGTCAACGAGGTAGACAATGGTCGGGTTTGTATCCAAGTATTTATTCGTAAAGTGATCTCTCATAACTGTTTCCTGGCTGTTCTAAGCTTTTCCAACAGAGAAAACCTTACAAATGGTTTTTTCTATATAAATGAATTGTAAATCGGAAAGTAAGGCAGTGTCAGTAGACAGGGGAAAAAGCAAGTATTACTGATAGAATATAACTATAATTGTATAATTAATATCTTTTTAAAATTCAAGTATTGACAGGAATAAGTTATTTTTAATGCCATGTGCTGATCGGAACATGGCATTAAGAATAATTGTTCCAATGAGCTTTCCTTCTTGATAACCACAACTGCAGGAATTTATGCGTATTACTTGATTGGCAATTAGGTCTCATCGTTTTACTGTTGAATTAGCAACCGTAAGTTCTATTCTAATAGTTTCTTCTCTCACACTTCTCGCCTTTGGCTCTCTCTTCCGGTTTTGTGCTTCTCTGTCACCTACAATCTTCAAAATAATAATAATAATGCAACGTCAATCGCCATCTTCTGCCGTTCTGAAACCTGATTTTTTATTGTCGTTTCTCCTCACTAAAATATTCTCATTATCTTTCACTCCCAGTAATCTCCGTGTGTCTTAGTGGCATTATCACCTTACTGGTGGTGAAATACTTTTTTTTTAAATAAACAACTAAGGATGTGTATAATTAGCACACGACAGCTGATCACTGCATCTCTAAATACAATTAATCAGGTAGCGCTTTCAATTGGTAGATTTTGGTGTAGCATTTCTAATTTCAAGGAATGCTATATGTTCTGTGATACAATGACATAATTAAAATAAGTAAACTATATTTTTATAAGTTTTAATACGCTACACAAACATCAAAATAAGTATTAATCTAACAATAGCTATTCACACTATTTCCATTCGAACTATTGTCATCATGTTTGTTGTTGCTATTATAACGTTTCAGCCGTTTTACCCTGCAGTCTTCATCAAATCTATATCGATCCGGGTAACTTACAGACAACAACAACAAATGTGAGAACAATAGTCCGAATGTAAACTTTTCTTTTAATCATTTTAACTCATGTAAGGCAAAAAAAAAAACAAAAAAAAAAAAAAAAGACGCAAGTGAGGTGCTGAGTGTGAAAGAATATAAGAAAAAGTAAAACACTATTTAGGAGAGAGAACAATAAAAGAACAGGAATTAAGAAGACAGAAGATAACGATTGACATTGCATTTAAATTATTGTAGTTCAAAATTGACTGGAAATCAAGAAGCCGAAATTTGTTCATCAACAATATAATTAAGGAAGTAAATTTAAGGACATAATTATTTTGGAATTGTTTTTGGAATTGATGTATTTCTTCTGTATTCTTGACTAACATAATGATATCATTGCCGTATATTAAATGAAGGTTTTTTTTAATTGTTAAATAAATTATTTCCAAGATTAGACGTATAGAAATTGCTAAATACCACACCCAGTACTGGAACCATGGAGACGCCATCCTGTTGTTTATATATATATTATTTTTGTGATTATAGAATGGGACTTCGTTAGTGCAAGTTAGCAGTAGTTTCCTAGTTTCCTAGGTCTAATTTTAAGTGGAGGGAGAGAAGGATTATTGGATATGTCTCTTATAATAATATCAATAGTTTCGTTAACAGGAACATTAAAGGACACAAAAAAAACTTGTCCATGAATATCAAAGGATTCAATTGAAAATAAGTAGACAAAACTTGTCTAAATTATTCTATGAAACATGTCTTAATGAAAACATGCTGACAAAATATACACAATATATATATATATATATATATATATATATATATATATACACACACACACATATATATATATATATATATATATATATATATATATATATATATATATATATATATATATATATATATATATATATATATATATATATATATATATATATATATATATATTGTCGTCCAAATGACATAAAAATGAAAATAACACTGACATTATATTTTAATAGACATATTTATCAAATTTACACAAAAATATCTTGAAATACTAAATTTCTTCAAAAAATCGCCATTAGCTTCAACTACGGCCTCCAGACGACTTCGAAATTTATCCGTTATGTTGGTGAATACTTGCCTTCAGTTCATGTTTGGTGTTACAAGGAGTTTTGTTGATCTTTCAATCAAATGCGCCCCGCACATAATAATCAAGGGGGTGCAGTCTGAGGAGTTAAGTGTCCAGATGTAAGCGGTGATGTGATTGCAGAAATTGTCTGACAGGCAAGACTGTGTTCTCTTGTCAGATATAGGTTCGTCCAGCAGCCACCGTCTTCATCCAGGGTAGTACTACTACCTCAAGGTACGTGATGTAGGCCTCCGTGTCGAGTCTGTGGGAAGATGATTGAAGGCATAATGTCGCTATTACTAGTAATCTCTCCAAGCACTATGATGTTGACTGGATATATCATTCAACACTTTCCGAATCCCCAGCACTAATTGACCCTCGTATTAGAGCTTCCGGCGCGAATGACAAGCAGTACAGCATGCCGTTTCTAAATGTTGGGTGGAGTGAATTGCATTATGGTGTGCTTTTTCGCACAGACGATACCCAAATAACCATACTATACTTTGCAGTCAACAAAATGAAAAACAAACAATACGCATGTGCGTAATTAAATCGCACCATATATATATATATATATATATATATATATATATATATATATATATATATATATATATATTGCCAACAACATTAAAATATCTATGCCATATTTTTCATATTTAACGTGATTATTATGTTGATAATTAAGTAAGTGTGGGTTTATTAACAGGATTTAAAGCTAAACAGTATTTTGATAAAAGGATTATCAGAAAGTCAGTCAGTCACGTGTGTCTACGCTGGAAAAATCGGTTAAAATCTTAGCCATTTATTTAGTTTTCCTTTTTTTAAGATTTTTATTTATTACTCTTCTGTTTTAAGTCCTTATCTACTCTCTCTATTTTATACATCTCTCTCTCTCTCTCACTCTCTCTCTCTCTCTATCTATCTATCTATCTATCTATCTATCTCTCGATTTTATGCCTTTTCCGATTTCTTTCACTCTCTCCACACTCTATGTCTTTCTCTCTCTTTCTTGATTTCATGCCTTTTTCTCCATGTCTCTTTCTCTTTCTCTCTCTTGGTTTCAATCATTTCTCTCTCTCTCGATTTTATGCCTTTTTCTCTCTCTCTCTTTCTCTCTCCCGATTTCATGCCCTTTTTTTCTTTCTCGTTTTCTTGTATTTTCTATTTCTCTCTCTCTCGACTTCATGCTTCTCTCTCTTGCTCCCTCTCTCTCTCTCTCTCTCTGTCTCTCGATTTCGTGCATTTCTCTCTCTCGATTTCATGCCTTTCTTTCTCTCTCGATTTCATGCCTTTCTTTCTCTCTCGAATGCATGTCTTTCTTTCTTTCTTTCTTTCTCTCTCTCTCTCTCTCTCGCAATTTCAAGTCTTTCTCAAGTTCTATTTCAGTATCACTGCGGGCACTAGTGTGGTACACGCAATCAAGATTGTTCTCATCAACCTCAAGGCGTCTATGCATTCTTTATAATGCAGCCATTTAATATTGACTAATAAAAAAATATTACCTACGTATACCAATGATACTATAGTCCCTCTTTAAAGTACTCATTTTAACACATTAAACAGCTATCCCAGCACCTATTCCAATTTTTAAAACAATCTACAAATCCTCTTCAGAGAACACTATCTGTTGCTTTGTCGCGCTTGCTTTAATGTTGCCTACCGTATGAATACTCATTCATTTCAACAGTGATTTTAGAAAATCCAGAAGTTTCAAGATTGTCGAGGAATCGACACAGTTCGCCAATTCGATCTTTCAAGATATTCTAAATGGTTCTATACTTTTCACACAGAAATCGGATACAAATATAAAAAAATAGCAAACACACTTACAGACAAAAGTGTACACAGAAACAGGAAATATGTTATTCGAATAATGATTTGTTAAATTGTGTGAAAGATATTGCGATTGCTATAAAAAGGCATTCAAAAAAAAAACATTTATATTAACCTTTCTACATTTTCAAGGTAGTTTATTGGAAATCAATGTTTTATTAGTGTTCTACACGGAGACTATTTTGAGACTAATTTCACAAGGTATTTTAGTATTCGCTTCGACGCAGTGCTACTATGGATTCAAGGTCAAAAGTCAAAACCAACATCTTGTCAGTGTACACTTGCCGAGAAAAATTTAAACTCTAGTATTAAATCTGGATATTAGTATCCATTCTTTTCTTTATCAATATAGCAATTTTATTTACAATCGCAATGTCCTCCATTATAAAAACAAAAAGGGAGAAATACAAAGTAAAATTAAGGAATTAACGAACTGAAAAGTAAAGAAAAATGGAAAGATAAGACTGTTGCTTCTAAAGTAATGTATCTTGTTTTATTATATTAACCCACAACGTCACATTGAATTTTGTTGGTGCCATGACAAAAAAAAAAAAACAAAAAAAAACTGAACCTTCCTGCCAATAACCCATAATTCTTTTTTAGGTTGTTATAGATAACAGAGATATAAGTGCACACAAAGCAAATTAATTTCATCCATGACGAAAATCTTCGCTATTATTACTGAATGACATTTACTGAATGCTTACAGAAACCGCACAATGGATATGAACACAGTTAGGCGGTAGGTAATGCGTTTCCACAGTAGCGACAACGATATAACTGAAAACGTGTTCTGTGCAGCCGGGTCATTACGTTCTCTGCATTGTTGTAGTTTCTGTAGAAATCAATAAAAGACATTTACTCTCAGAGTGTCCGTCGTAAAAGAAAAAAAAAGGCAAGAAAAAGTCGGTAAGAAAAGAAGTGGAAATAAAAGAGAAAAGAAGAGGAACAGGCAAAAAAATTAAAATGAATATAGACAGACAGATAGAAAGAGACTGTGAAGTTGATAAAGAGAGAAAGAGAGAAAGAGAGAGCAATCGTGAGAAACAGAATTTACTTCCGTTCTGTTCAAAGGCTTTCGTTTTTAACATATGGTTTCAGAGTCGGTCCAACAAGTGCTCATCACGTTACATCCGAATGAAATAGCCAAAGAATAAATCTGTTTCTCTGATTAAAATTTTGGGCACAATACTTTATGCATTTCTAAAAAGAAAGAAAATACAGTCAAGGATTTTACGTTGTCGGACCAATATAGTCCAATCTACTAACTGAAATATTTTGAAGAGGATAGCATATAGTTTTGAGTGCAGTAAATTATGCAACTTAGCAGGATATGTGGAAATTCCATGGTGCCTTATCGAAATTTGGGAATAAATCTATAATTGTACAGAAAAGATAAAAATCATATTATTTTCTTTGTCATAATGCTTTAATATATTTTCGAATTTATAAATGCTTGATTGCTCAAAAAAACATTTCACATTTCCATGACTTCAATACAGACAGATTTTCTCCTGATTTTACTATTATTATTATTATTATTATTATTATTTCTCTCTATTCCATGATAAATGTTTTATGTCTTATATTGTTCCGTATTCTCTCAATCGGAAAAAGAAAAAAAAATACAGCGTTTCGGCCTAAATACTGCTTGTAGTAAGTATTTTCAAAATATGGCATTTGTTTTTATTATCGTTAAACAGCTCCTTTTTTGTTTCATCTGAATAAAAATCCTTAGCATATCTGTGATTTACAGACAACTTGTAATATTAGGGTCACATATTTGAGGGGCAATGTAGAAAGCGTTATGTTCACTGTAGGTCGTCAGGTAGGTAGGCAGGTAAGGGATAGGCTGGTAGAGAGGGAGAGAAGGGGGAACTGAAAAGCGTGTTAGTATTGAGATTGATACTTAAAAATGAATTTCCTCGTTTAGACGAAGAATAAAAACCTTTGAAATACATTGAAATACTAAAAACATTTTTATCGAAAACTAATGGAAAAGACTAAATTGAAGTAATTTAATAAAGCAAGCTTAAATTTTGTTTTTATGTGCATGTCTGTGTGTGTGTCCGTGCGGGTGTGCCTGCAAATATTATGTAAAACTGTAACATCATATACGGTTTTGTCATTTATACCGATCAGTACGCGTCTTATAAATTCGTTAACTTAGCGGTTCCTCAATATTTATATTTCTGAGATGAGGTATTGTAACTATTTGCAATATTTATATTGCTCCGACTGTTGTCCTCATCTTTATCGCCATAAACACTAAGTTTCGCCCATTGTACGCTCTTGCCATCCTCAGGTGATATGATTTAGAATTTTTAACCGAAATCTTTATCTAGTCCACAGACGGTGGGGGGTAGATTGTTCTCATTCCACTTGCCATACCTTTTCTGGATATCTCAGTTTCAGTTAATTCGCATTAGTAACTCACCTCTCCAAGTTTTAGTCCCCAGTGGACAAAAGCGTTGGCTGAGCGATCCAAAGTGAGGCTTGACTCAAAAGTTGTGAGTTCAATACTTGGCCATAGCAGAGGGAACCAAAAATTTAGACTGGGTAGCGGAATGGGAACACAGCCAAAAGACGTGGTCCGCGCAATGTCAAGTTTGTTTTCTTTTTCTTAGAGTAGGGTTCACCCTGTACAAGGCCCGAGGGCCACTCGAATTAGGGGGTTACGTTAAGGGACAGATTATATGCAGAGGAGAGGAAGATAACAATTAACTTGAACAGGTTAAGATTATAGTGATCGGGAAAACATCCTTTTAGGAGGCTGTTCCACAGAACAGTGGTTCGTGGGAAGTCTAACACTTTCGCCCCGGCCACTCAGCCTCCGGCGTCTTACTCTCGGGGTTGAGATATCTACTCGGTCCTAACCGTAGATTATTCGACCGGTCCACTGGTTTTCCTGCATCCTGCCCACGTTGTGATTTGTTTGATCCAGAAAGCAGAAGTGATGCCTGTCCATTCACGGTCGACTGAAGATGTAGACACGGCTGGGGAGTCTGCGCTAAGAAATTTAGAATGCAGCAAAAAAAAAAATTAATATCTGCAGAAAGCCGAACAAACATCGATTCAGTGGTTGAATTGGTAATGTCTTTTATATAGCAGAAAAGAATAGTAGAGAAGAGAAACGGGTTACAGAAAAGAAAAGTAAAAAAAAAATCATACACTGGATTCTAGAGAGAGATAGTGTGTGTAGGTTATTATCTTGTTAAATCGTCTCAGAACGATATATGACTCTTGCGATAGAGGGATAAAGATTTCTGTGCGGAGCTTAAAGTTATAGTGGCGTTCACCCTCCCAACGCTCGCCTGGGCCAATTCTCTCTTCAAGAATTGTATCCTGTATGTCTTTTACAGCATAACTACGCGTTTATATAGATAAACCCGTCTGGTTATAACTGACCCTCAGCCCTACTACTTTGCACACGATTATCACGGGGGTTCTGGCTGCTTCAACTAAAATCATGTGAATTCCAAAGTTCCTTCTAGCTTACTCAGCTCTATTTCAATTTTTAATCGATAAAAATTATTTCGTCCATTTCTATTGTCTTCTGATGACCCAGATTCAATGGATACAACTTCTGCCCTAGATCAGATTTCCATATCAAAAATGCTCTGATTTAATTTCGCTATTCAAATCTACTGCAATTTCACTAAAAATATATACGCGTGTGTATGTTTCCCAGACTCTATCTCTGTCACAGAAGAAGTTGTTTGAGTGGAATTTATTTCTCACAAATGGAATACAGAGAGGATGTGGATGGTTTGCTACTATGTAAATGGCATGACGGGTTCTAGTCGTGAAGGTTAGACATTGCGGGAACAAGGAATGTAGTTCATCCGAGCACTTTCCATGGAAGTAGCGACAGAGCAGTAAGAGACTCGCTACATCCCGCCTGTGAGAGAGAGAGAGAGGTTGGAGGGTAGAAAATAATTCTTCTCCAACAAGGAATCGGAGACGCATTTGAAGTCTATCAAGACTGGCAAGTGAGAACTTGACAGCTCCTGCCCAAATATGGCAACAGTACTCCATTTTCGGCCTGACCTGGCTCTTATAAAGGTAGAGAATAGCATGTGGAGTCAGATACTTACTGGAGCGGTACAGGGAGCCGATCATTTCACCTGCATTTTTAGCGATGAATCGTATGTATGATTGCTAGTATTAACTTGGGAAATGCATGGTAGCTGAGCCAGTGACGTACCATGAGTTAATATTCAATGCTAAGTAAAAAAAAAATTTCGAATGCTGATTTTTCAAGAAAGCAAATTCTCCTGACTTGGAAGATAGGCATAAGACAAACTTCTTCCCTTTTTAACCATAGCTGATTGACTCTTGTGTCATACTAAGTTCATATCAATACTACTATAAGTTAACAATAATAACAATTCCGAACTGCAAATTGTAATTTGCAAGAAATGTAAATTATTTTAGCAGCCATAGTCCACTGGTTTCTAAACTTTTACTAGTTGTCCCCGTCTTGACTTCCGGACCACATCCCTTGTGTCTCTCTCACACTACTTTATAAAAATATAATCAAAAATAATTCTTTCTTTGTATTAAATATATTGAAAATTTAAAACTACTAATTTAATACTGTATGCAAACATACACCTTTCGGCTTTTCTC